GTGTGCAAAAAGAGCAATAAAAATGTGTCCTTTTTTGGGAAAGATTAAGAAAACGAGTTTCACATAAAATGAAACAAATGAGATTAAATAATATTGTACTGTTTTCCCGGTACAGGAACAAGTTGCTATAATAATTTCTTTAAAAGACATTAATTCTACGTAGTTTATGGAACACCAACCTTGGCTTGCTCCAATAGCTAAGTTTACTTGAATTACATTGCATTTGACATTTCATACAATATCTACCCTAATAAACTACAATCTAATCCAAATTGTTGGGCCCGTGCACAAGCACAGGCAAACATACTCTAGTTCTCTTATATAAGAAGCACGGTAGGAGCAGGTGAAGTAGGGGGTCTTCGTTGACATCGCTGCTTGCACAAGGGACATTTTGGTCATTTCAATGGTTGGACGAAGGATTACTTGGTAATTTCGTGGCTATTATCCTGGGAAGTCGCTGCATTTACTTTTGCTTTATCCATTAGCTGCTCCTCTCTGCTTTTGTTTTGGATTGCTTTAGCTTTTTCTCTGCGAATTTCGGACTTTGGCTGCGGTAGGGTAGGAACAGGTGAAGCAGGGAGGTCTTCGTTGACATACCTGCTTGCACAAGGGACATTTTGGTTATTTTAGTGGTTGGACGAAGGATTACTTGGTAATTTCGTGGCTATTCTCCTAGGCGGTCGCCGCTTTTACTTTTGCTTTATCCGTTAGCTGCTGCTCTCTATTTTCGTTTGGATTGCTTTAGCTTTTTCTCTGCAAATTTCGGACATTGGCTGCGGTGTCCACTAGTTTGAAAGATCTTCTTTTGGTATTTTGCTTGGCTTTGCTATCGGGTTTCTCTGAAGAACACAACGTTTGCTAATCAGGGGTTATAGTGACTAGTGCTCCGACAATTTCAAGGTAGCTTCTAATTTATGCGTGTCACGACCCAAACTCCCTCCGTATAACATCGTGATAGCACTTAGTCTCTACGACTAGGTAAGCCTAATAAATTGCGAAAAATAATAACACGAAACTAAAATTTAGAAACTAACAGCAGTGGATAACTAAATAACTAGTAACAACGCTGCTCGACATGTAAAATAACCAATACTCTATAAATACACAGTCTTTCCAAAACCCGGAACATCATGAGTCACAAGCTACAGAAGGAAAAGTAGTATCTCTATAAACCAAAGTATAACAAAAGAAGTACAGAAGGTAATTGACATAAGGGAGAATAGAAGGGGACTCCGAGGTCTGCGGACGCGGCAGATGTACCTTGAAATCTCCGTACAACAGCAAACACTCTTAGCTAATAGCGGGTCTGATAAGAGGTACCTGGATCTGCACACAAAACATGCGCAGAAGAGTAGCATGAGTAAACCACAACGGTACCCAGTAAGTGCCAAGCCTAACCTCGATCGAGTAGTGATGAGGTCAGGTCAGGCCCACTGGTAAATAATAAATAAGGCAGGAGAATATACAGTATAATAAGAGACTAGAATTTAACAAAAGGAAACACAGCAAGGCAACAGTACAACACACAGGGGTAAACAGCAGGGGATCTCCCAAGATACCGTCTCGTAGTCCCAAAATAAATATACATGGAGAACTTCTGAGGTACCGCCTCGTAGTCTCAAAAGTAAATGTGCGGGAAGAACTCCCGAGGAATCGCCTCGTAGTCTCAAAAGTAAATGTACAGGGAGAACTCCCGAGGTACCGCCTCGTAGTCTCAAAAGTAAATGTGCAGGGAGAACTCCCGAGGTACCGCCTCGTAGTCTCAAAAATAAATGTGCAGGGAGAACTCCTGAAGAACCGCCCTGTAATCTCAAAAGTAAACACAAAGCTCAACCGATAAAAACAACAGTTAACATCAAGATTTCTACAGTTATACTGATAAAGAACAAGGAAAAACAGGAATCAACTAGGCATGCTTCACAGAGTTCAAATAAACAGTTAAAGCACGTAGACATGCGATACTAGACTAAGCAGGATAACTACACATACTGGAATAGCTCAATTAAGAGTGAAAACAGACTAATTTTCATTTAAATGGTATAACTCATATGAAAAGGGATAACAGGTTGCTACTCAGCAAAATAAACAAGTTTTTACAACAACTAACCCGTGTACGTACTCGTCACCTCACGTACACGATGCTCACATATCACAACAGTACCAAATCCTAAGGGGATCTACCCCACACAAGGTTAGGTAAGCCACTTACCTCGAACCAAGCTCAATCAATTGGTGACAATGCCTTTTCTACGAATATCCGACTCCGAATGGCCCAAATCTAGCCAAAATCAATTACACACCATAAATACAACTATAAGAAATTAATATAATTAATGAAATCAAGACTTTAACAAAAATTCCGAAATTTGTCCTAAAAAGTCGACCCGGGCCCACATCTCATAATCGGGTAAAAGTCACAAAATATGAACACCCATTCACTCACGAGTCCAAACATACCATAATTACCAATATCCGACATCAACTTGACCCTTAAATCCTCAAATCAAATTCTCCAAATCCCTAGCCTCAAAATTCCAAATTCCACCTTAAAAATACACTAACTAGGTGGAAACATAAATGGGGAAGTGAGATTATTGATCAAAAATAAGCACAAGGGACTTACCTCAAGAAATCCTTCGAAAATGCTCTCAAGAAATCGCCAACCCCGAGCTCAAAATGTTTAAAATGAGCAAAAATCGCGAATCATTGCATTTAAGTGTTCTGTCCAGCATTTTCGCATCTGCGGACCTCTGGTCGCACCTGCGACGCCGCACCTGCGGAAAAACCATCGCGGGTGCGGATTCCACTTATGGCCAGGGTTTCCGCTTCTGCGGACCAGGGATCGCACCTGTGATCTCGCTTCTGCGGAGACCCTTCCGCTCTGCGATCCCAAACCTCCCAGGCCTCTCTGCTTCTGCGTTCAAGCTTCCGCAGAAGCGACTCTACTCCTGCGGCCTTCATGTCATACCTGCGACCCCAGGCCAAACTCCTCCGGCTCGCATCTGCGATCCTCCTCTCGCACGTGCGAGTCCGCACATGCGGTCACCCCACCGCAGGTGCGAAAATACCAGAAACCAGAAACTTCAGCAATTTGCATAAGTCCAAATTCAATCCGTTAAGCATCTGAAACACACCCGAGGCCCCCGGGATCTCAACCAAATATACCAACCAGTCCTATAACACCATACGAACTTAGTCGAGCCCTTAAATCACATTAAACAACGCTAAAACACGAATTACACATCGATTCAAGCCTAATGAACTTCAAAGTTTTAAACTTCCACATCCGATGCCGAAATCTATCAAATCAAGTCCGATTGATCTCAAATTTTGTACACAAGTCATAATTGACATTACGAACCTATTCTAACTTCCGGAATCAGAATCCGACCCCGATATCAAAAAGTCTACTATCGATCAAAATCTCCGAAAATTCGACTTTCGCCATTTCAAGCCTAAATGAGATACAGACCTCCAAAACACAATCTGCACACGCCCCTAAGTCCAAAATTACCCAACGGAGCTAACGTAATTGACGAAACTCTATTCCAGAGTCGTCTTCATACATTTTCGACTACGGACAAAATCCTAAGACTTAAACTTCCGTTTAGGGGCTAAGTGTCCCAAAACACCCCAAAAACCAAAATAAAACCTCTCGGCAAGTCACATAAGCTGAAACAGATACGGGGAAATAGTAAATAGGGGATCGGACATATAACTCTCAAAACGACCGGCCGGGTCGTTACGATGTGAATGACGGAATACTTCATCATTTCTTTCAACTCTTCTAAAGTGCAGTAAGAATCGATTTCAATGTATTATTTAGATACCACATCCGGACATGCATTAGAGGTATTTGATAAATTGTCCGAAAGAAACTACGGATGTTTGTGGACTGTTTTAATTTGATTTTGACTCAGTAAGTTAAGCTTCAAATATGATGTTTATTTCACTGACCTTCTTTGTTTTTTCTTTTCCTTCATGGGTTACAAAAAGCATGAATTTCTGTCAAAAATTCATGTCTAGTTTCCTATTAACTTGGTATGTCAATCACTGATTAATATGAATTTTCAGTTCTTCCCGCACTATTTTTTATTGATAGTCTCTGTGGATGTTTCTTTGTTTATTTAATATCACTTTGGTTTGCTTCCTTACTTACGCTATTTCTAGGAATTTTACTTCAATAAGGAAAAACTATCGGAATTAACTTTTTTTATTTGACTTTCTTCAAATGCTTAATTGATTTATTTGTCCAAAGTAGGATTATCATTCTATTCATCTTTGTTCTTCCAAATACTTAGATTGATTCTTATTCTTTTACTCTCTTTTCCTTCGAGGGTAACGGAGGAATTTATTGTTGTTTTGAAATTTATGGAGCTATGTCGCAACTCCTGTTATAATTTATTTTGTGATTCTTCTATACTCGGTCAAATGAATAATCACCAAGGTGGTCTGCTCAGTGTAGATCAAAGTGATATACGAAAAGTACCTATAATATTCATTCATGATTCATGGTGCTAATTCATGAACCTGATGCTTCCCATGAAATTTGAAATGGAAGACATAGACTAACAAAATTTTTGGCTATTTTTTGTTTAAGTTGCTGGGTAATAATACAACCTTTTTGTTATAAAAGAAATCTTGTGTTAGAGTCCATCTTCAGAAAAAATTCCAATGGAAATAAATATCATATTTAAAGGGGGGAAATTTTTTGAATGACAGCATATGGAGCGCGTGAGGTGTAGATATATAACATTAGGTGAATTATAAATAAAGCAGGGCCCATTTTTTTCAGAGAATTAATCGTCTTATACGGTAAACTAAGCGTGTGTATACAAAATATAGGTGGAGGTCCCACTTTATCAGCAAGCTTGTCCACGCGTAAGTACAGATGCATTTGAAAAGAGTTCATTCAACCTTAACTTAGTGCTGATTTTTTTAGGGAATTTGGTCTCTTCTTCTGAAAATTTAGTTCCGATTTTTGCTTCGCTTTTATTAGCTGTACCTTTGCTTCTATTTCTGTTGCCAATTGAAGAGTCTTTTAAGTAATTTTATTTGGGTTTCATTTTTCTTTTGCCTAAAATTATTCTTTGTAATTTTTATTCCTCGGGTTTCACTCATTTTTTTGCTAGCTGTCAGTGTTTCTGACTATACGGAGATGACTAGGCTCGAAAAAACTGTTGATTCTACCTCCAATAAAAAAAAAGGGAAACGTCAATGTTCTGAAGAAAGAGGTGTCAAAATAAAACAGAGACGGAGTGAAATGTATAGAGAGATGTCAGCAGACAGAAGAGAATTAAACTTAATGCAACGACGAATGGCGTACCTTCATTCCACAACACAGAACCCTATTGGTAACTCCGCTGAGCTACCAACTTCCTCTCATCTTAACGGCGAGCTGATCGAAAATAGAATTGGTGTAAGAGGAGCCACATCTTCTCTCTTGGAAACAAGTTAGTACAATATTAAATTTTTGTTAATAACTTGCTGTTTATGTGTGTATGGTTTTATATATATGTCGATATAACTCAATCTGGTTTAATTGACTTGTGTTCTCTTTGTCTTTCTTAGCCGTTTCTGATAATGGCAGAGTTATAGGTGGCAGCTCTTGCGTTTTTGAAGTTGGTAAGTCTACAACTATGATGTTCAAGTTTGTAGATTTTTCAGACAACTGGCTTATACGATAGTTCCTTATATGTTAGAGTCAATATCAGGAACGTACAACGAACAATATAACATTACGTCGCGTACTGCGACAAAGAAAGGTTTGTTTTCATCTACCGTTCGAACCTTTTCACTCTTTTATTTTCCTCAGCTGATATATTTTCCTTTGCTAAAATCTGAGATACACAGGTCGTAAATCTAAAAAATTTGGTTGCTGGAACATTAATGAATTGCTTAATGGTTCTTTTACACTCAAACCTGTATCAAACTGTCAATTTTGTAGAGCCAAAAGATTTGAATATGAACCATTAGGATTTTGTTGTGACAATGGTTCAGTGAAACTGATTCACTATGGAATGCCTACTGAATTGCTAAATCTTTATTTAGGAAACTCTGAGGAATCTGAACATTTTCGCACTTATGTTAGAATGTATAACAATATGTTCGCATTTACTTTTGTTGGAGTGAAATATGACAGAGATTTAGCGAAAAGAAATCATGGTATTTATACATTTAGAGTTCAGGAAAAAATGTATCATTTTATAGATAACTTGGTGCCATCGAGTCAACCGGCTAAAAATCTACAGCTGTATTTCTACAATACAAATAATGAGGTAGCAAATCGGATGGCATTCTCTGACAAGCATAATGAATTAATTATCAGAATTTTGATGGACACAATAAAAATAAACCCATAATGTATCTTGTTGAAATCGTTAACAGATATCCCAGAATTATCCAACTTCTATATTGCGCTTAAGTCTGGCTCTGGTTTAGATCAAAGAATATACAACTTACTAACATCGTCAGAAGCCGCATCAATATGGATAGAAGATGAGAGTAGTTCCAATATTTCTTTACCACACATTAGAATTTATACATGTAATTGTAAGAGCCAATTGGTAAATTATTACTACGGTTGTTAGGATTCGTTGCAATATCCATTACTATTTCCTTATGGACAGAATGGATGGCATTGTGGTATTAAAAAGATCATTCGAACAAACAATACTGGTAGTACTGGAATTTACTATGAACATGAACAATTTCCAAGTGTAGAAAATATGTGCTCAATTGACATGCTTCTTGACATGGAAGCAGAACTTCTGCAAAAAAAGAAACAAAAAAGAAATATTGTATCTTGCCGTGAGTATTACTGTTATAAGATCCAAATGAGGAATGACGAAGAAAACAGAGTTTTACATTCTGGGAGAGCATTTCAACAGTACTCGGTTAATCAATTCATCAAGCTTGAGACTCAAAGGTTGGATTTATATTCACTTAACCAAGACTTATTTCGAGTTGATGCGTTAGCGGGGCTTCTTGATGTTCTAAGACACGGAAAGAGAGATTCATCAAATATTGGTAAACAACGTTTTCTTCCTACGAGTTTTGTAGGAGGTCCTAGAGATATGCGCCGAAAATATATGGACGCTATTGCATTAGTGCAACATTTTGGAAAACCTAATATATTTTTGACAATGACATGTAATCCATCTTGGCCTGAAATAGAAAAATATTTATTATTAACATATGAGGTACAAAATAGGCCTGATTTAGTTAGTCGAGTGTTTAGAGAAAAGGTAGAAGAGATGAAAACAAATATAATAAAGAGAAATATATTTGGTAGAGTTGATGCTTTTATGTACACTATTGAATTTCAGAAGCGCGGTCTTCCACATGCTCATTTTCTTATCATACTCAACAATGAATATAAATAGTTAACTGCAGAAGCTTATGATAAAATTGTTTGTGCTGAATTGCCTGATCCTGATATGAATGATTACGTGTATACACTTGTTACTAAACATATAATGCATGGACCTTGTGGTAGCTTAAATCATAAATGTCATTGTACAGAAAAAAGGGATATTGTAAGTTTGAATATCCGAAAGAATTTGCTGACCACATATCAAAGGGAAAAGATGAGTATCCAATATATCAAAGACAAAATACCGGCAAAGTTATACATATTAGAGGACAACTTCTTGATAACTCCTGGGTAGTTCCTTACAATCCATATCTACTGAGTAAATTTAATTGTCATATTAATATTGAAGTTTGTTCTGATATTAAAGTTGTCAAATATCTTTATAAATATATTTGCAAGGGACATGATAAAATTATCTTTTTCGTACATGTTGATGATCCGAATATTGAAATAGATACCCATCTTGGCGTTTATTTGATTTTTCCATTAGTGAAATGAGCCCAGCTATTTACCATCTTCAGCTACAATTTGAAGAACAATAATTTGTCTCTTTTAAAATCACACAGACCATAAATGCAATTGTAAGTAATCCCATGATTAGAAAAATAATGTTGACAAAATTTTTTCTGATGAACAGAGAAAACAAAGATGCTAAGAATCTAAAATTAATTTACAAGAAAATTTCAGAATATTTTGTATGGTCCAAACAATATAGAATGTGGACACGTCAATAATGGGGTACTGTTATTGGACGTATTGTGACATGTCATCCTACAGAGGGGAAATATACTATCTTAGATTGTTATTAATGAATATTAGAGGACCAAAATCATATCAATATTTGCGAACTCTAAATGGAATATGTTGCAGTACATTCAGAGAAGCCACAAAGAAAAGAAGATTGTTAGAATATGACAATAACTTGGTTGACTGTATGTCAGAAGCCGTAAGATATCAAATGCCTTATAGTTTAAGCGCCTGTTTGGATTGGCGGGAAAAAAGTAACTTTTAAGCATAAGTGTTTAAAAGCACTCTTTAAGTTCTTGAGCTTACTTTACAAATAAGCAGTAATGTGTTTGGATAGAAGTACGTAAGCTGAAAAAAAGCTATTAAAATATTTAGTAAACAAGTACTGATAAGCACTTTTTTCTGTTAAAATGACCGAGATGCCCTTAAAGCTGTCAATACTAAAAATAAGCTTATTGATGCATTTTTAATTATAAACTAACTCAAATGCATATTAATTTGTGTATCAATTCAGTTTAAGTTATAATACTTATTAGATAAGAGTATTTTAATTAATATAAAGTACTTGTTAGGTAAAATATTAATTAATAATTGTAATTAAAAAATATACTTAAATTATATAAACAATTCATATAAAATTACCCACAAAGTAAATAAATTAACGTAAAGTACTTTTCAAAACCGAAGAACCACGTAAAAGTTACTTTCTTACCTTCTGCTTTCATTTTTGATTATGCAAGTGAATAAAAAATGGAATCTGAAGGAGTTAGAAAGCTTTTGAAGTTGAGAAACAAGTATTGCTAATCAATTTAGAATGTTCCTGATGTTATGATACCAGTTAGGAAGAAATGGGAAGAAAAATAAACGGGTTAGAGGTTTTAGTAAGAGAGGGTACTTTGGTAATTATTGAAGTATGTAAGGGATAATAGGGTAAATTATTTGGTCAAACTCAAGTAGCTTTTAAGCCCCAAAAAAAATATATTTGGATAGACCAACTTATTTGTCATGCCCCAAACTCGGGGAGCGCGACCAACGCTCAACTGAGTGAACCCGGCCGAACAAGTCTATTAGATTTTCTTCTACCCAACCTCATCCATGAATAAAGAGGAGATGTACTCCATTAATCAAACACTGAAAATATTTCATTAACAACTCCCATTTCATTCTATTAGCAGATTCGTTCATAATTTTTAAAGTATTACAAGTTTATAGATATAATGAAAAACATGTTTGCCAAATACCAACATTTCTGGTTCAATTCCCAACATTCGACTACCACCCACAACCTGTCTACGGAGCCTCTAAGTACAACACAAGAGTAGTATGGAAGTACCGGTATCAAGGCCCCGACTATACCTCAAAACACAATGTACAACTCGAATGACATCAGGCCCGGAAAAAAGTAGGGCTCACCAAAACCTGCTGAATAGAGAGTGACTGCTAACGAGTACCAAAGTTGCCCGCTGATGAACCACCTGCATCCATTAAAGATGCAGCACTCCCGACAAAAGGGACGTTAGTACATATGGAATAGTACTAGTATGTAAAGCTAACTGTCCTCTTTCAAAATAGAATACCAATGTAAGAAAGGGAAAACCATGAAAATAACAATCAACAATCAATGATATTCAAATGCCAAGTTAAACATAATAATTTCCAAAATATGAAGATAACACAATGAAGTGATAATCAAAATATGATGATAATATTATTTTTGGTTGGGAGATCTTTAGCACCGATATACCACTGTTCACAATACCAATGTTCACAATACCAATACTACCGTACTTTTAGCACGGAGTCCGATCATGACCCGAACGGCTAGGCCATCTCATTAGAGACATCAACCACAATCACAATTTCAATTACAATTTCCAGCACAATGACCACCATGTGTGCGGCATGGCATCCGATCATGACCCGATCGGCTAGGCCGTCTCACCACAATGTCGTGTGGATCGACATCATCCTTTTCTATCAATCAATCTCATCCCAAATAAGGGAAATAATTTTATCACATAAATCTCATCCTAAATAAGGGGAATGATCACAATCCACTCCTACACCGGCACGTGTAGTTTCGGGGTTAGGTTATTTCAACCTACCCTTCCTCGGTGACTATCGATACTCCCAAAAATATTATTTTTTTTGTTTTTGCACACAAAGGTAACATAGGTATAAATGTATTTACCTCATCATCTTTCACATTGTATGAATCTCCACTAGTATTTTCAACCAATAACAACAACAATATTCCCTTGGCTCTTTTAGCCATTCACAAGATTCTTTATTCAAGGCACAATGGCCGTATTTGATATTCCACACTTTCATTTCTTCCCTCTCATGTATCATCATTATAAATATCAACATATATAATATTTCGGAAATCATAACTTTAAGTTCATTAGAAATAAACAATTTAAGCACAATAGCTTTCTTTTCGAGAAATGGAGTAAAATAATTGGCAATTGATGCGCAAGTTAAAATCATCAACAAGTAACATACCATTTATTCTTGAAATACTTTTTCCCAAAAAGAACAATACATAATTTTCACTCACGAATATATAAGAACGCAAAACACATTGAAAATACTCCCAAAGCATAGCATTTGTTAAAACAGTCATATATGGGCATGACTTGAGTACATAAGCTTTTTATCAATTCTATTTTTGAAATAATTTTGGAAAAGTTGAGTCAAAACTCATTTCATAATCTTTCCCACATCATCCTATTTCATTGGCACCATTAGCCATAAGTATAACTTTCACTCTTGGCACGTTGGCCACACTTTATACCCCCAATTCACTTATTTCACTTCCAACCATCTTTATAGATTATCAACAATAAGATATTTCTAATCAAGACTTTAGGTACACATATGAGCAATTAAGAGTCTTAAGCATATTGATATTTTCTCACACAATTTGGCATCATAGCCTTCATTTGAAACATGACTCAAAGACATAGTATTTTAATACACATATCATTCTTGAACACATTCCTAAAGGATAA